GTAATCTTGTCTAAATTAAGGTTTTGTGACGGTTAATTAGGCTCAGTGCCATGGAGGTGGTTGACTCTAAAGGAGAAATACTGTTGTCTAGTAACATCTACCCATCTCGATATTGAGCTGAGTGTAGTCGGAGTCACTTTAGTAGACATCTTGACGCCCTATTACCGGCATTTCACAAACGTAGCTAGAATACGATGTGCGTTCACACGCCTTTTGCTATCCTAACATATCAGAATAGATGTGGTTGTTAACTTTCTCGAACCACTTTTGTTAGGATTAATAGATGATAATTTAGCAGGTGCAATGTCTATCAGATTAAAAACCTCGGCTAGTCTTTTTGTTACAAATTTATTTTGCGCTTCCAATTCATTTTTAAATATAAATAAACAACGAACCGTTGCAGTGATAATCAAGTGACTAAACTGCGCACGCATTGTTTATATGTAAGACTTACATGAAGTGAAAACAAGGAATTGTTTGCGAGGTTCTTATTGCTCATTAGTAAACTACAGTTTCAAAGTTACGCCTTTCGTGTCCTTACGTAACTGCGTACATTACATAAGTCGATGGATAAATGTGATCTGATGAGTTCCTTGCAGTCCATAGGAATTTTCCTAAAAAATGAGATATGGCCCAGTTGTTCACTATTTTAACTCTTTGAAATCCAGACCCTTAGCTAACCTGTATCCTCAAAATCCCGAAACGCCCGAAATACTTTTCTAGTTTCACTGCAGATTCCTCCCCTCCTCCCCTCCCCGTTCATTAACGCAGAAAATAGGTGTGAATATTTCGAATGATATCATTTGTAATTTCTAACAATGTTTCCATTAGCCTTTAACCCCGTTCTTTATAAACGTATTCTGAAGGTCACACCAACCAGCCTTTCTGGCTTAGATATGATTGCGACTGAGATTTTGTTTACTTTCGTTATTTTTATAGGAAGGAAAAATTGATTAAAAATAAATATAGTCCTTACATTTTTAAACTGCACTTTTATTGCTGTTTAAAGCTTAAAAGCACATTCTACAAAAAAAAAAAAAAAAAAAAAAAAAAAAAATTCAACAATGAAATGTCCAATGAAATGTCACGAGCAAATAAAAGATAAAAAATCCGCTTAGGACAAACTGTCTGCGGTAAACTCATACAATGCAGTTAAGGAAACTGCACCTGCTACTGCATACCTTAGGGGAAGGGAAGAAAACAAAATTGCAATCTCGGCCGTTTTCGGGCGGTTCTGGTTGTCTCAATAAAGGGCCGTGTGGGGCGGATTGGATGTGAAGTAGTTAAATAAGGCCGGAGGGTCTTCTTTAACTCTTTAGCCCAAAATGAGAATTTAAAAATTTACTACTTAATGTGAAGCACGGAATAGCAGATTCTGTCAAACTGCTTGTATTTTCCTTCGCGTCACCAATAACTAAGTGATTAAGTTAACTGAATGCTGGACGTTTGATGTAGTTTCAGTCTCAAGCGAATAAGCTGTCTACGTGATTGATTTCCCGTTATCTTCCTCTTGTGTAACGTGAATATGAGCCAGTCTACCTTTAGAAAGCTTCCCTGAGAGGCACAGTCTGAGTGTTGCTTGCTGTGCTTTTCCGTTTTCAAATAACCTAACCTGACGTTTTCCTTCCAACCCCTGAATACTTTACCATATGTGCAACGTTTATCTTAACTAACCCATTGTCTTACTTTTTTTTTTTTTTGGACTGCACAATCTCTTTTATTTTTCGTGTGTCGCAGAGATGCTATAAACTTACAAGCATTCAAGTCTTTTCGAGGATTCGAATCCGGGCCTTAAGATACGACGGCCAGCAGCGCTAACCATTATACCAATCGGGGTGGCCTAATTTGTTTTTATCCGTTTGATGTTAATCTTCGGAAGAGTCTGTAGGGCGAATTTTCATTTCAGCTTGAATTCCAGTCTTCTTATTAGATATTATTGCATTTGCCTTTTTAGATACGTTTTTCGCAGTGTATCTTGAGACTAGTATGTTTATATCAGTGTCCTTTTAATAGCTTATTAAAAAGGCCGGTGAAAATTATAAGGTATTTCTCCCGCCCTCTTGCCATACCTTCGTAGTGTAGTAGTCGGCACACTGGGCGCGTGTTCCAGAGGTCCGTAGTCCGATTCCCTGCTAGGGCGTTGCTCATTTTTCATCTCTCCTGCTTCCAATTAACCTAATGTCTCTACAAAATACCTAACAAACATGGCAAATGTATTATTATTTAGCAAATGTTTCTATAATAGAAACTGTATTTTTCAAAAATTATTATGTTTCTTTACTGTTTGTTGTGTCGTGTTATTTTGCTTGGGATAGAGAACCTTTGTCATAACTTTCATTTTACTGCACATAATATTTTCATTTTTAGGAACAAAATATTGCTGCTTTTTTTAATTTGGAATAATAAAGAAATGTCAGGCGTTATTAGAAAACATGATAATATTAGTTATGACTGAAATGTGTTTCTATAGTTTTTGTCAATATATTTATAATTGATATAATACATTCAGCTAGAAAATGTATTTATCACTTTTAATAATAGATTTCGTTAGATAATTGAAATTTAAAGTCTTCCATTATTACGATAAAATTCCTTTCTGTTAAAGGCTCATCACTAATTTTAAATACTGAGATGGACAATGGAGACATTTTTTAAGATATAAGTTTTTGATTTCATTTAGTATTAATTTAATAAAACTGCGCTTCCAGAATTGAAGATATCCCCAGCACGCCAAACACAGGAAGAGCAAATGCTGTAGTACAGGAGTTCAATTTGTGTACAACTTGCACTAACTTTAACAGAACATATGAATTAAGCCGGAAGAAATTAAAATAAATGTCAATGCTGATTATTTTTTTAAAAGAGCAAAAAATAGATAAAGGTAATAGAAAGTTTTGTTTCTACACTTCCATTTGCATCAAGAAAGAAACTAAATACAGGTTCTTTTAGAATGCAGTATATTCTCAAAAAGGAAATACTTGAAGAATTTGGTTAAATACCTAAGCGTATTTGAGAGTTTTAGAATTAAAAGTAGTAAAACAAAAGAAGCATTGTCGCTGTTTTGATAAGCCATAATTACCTCATCATCAACATCATTTAAATGTGCTAGTTTAACTTATAACTAAAGATGCAACTAATAAAAAATATTTTCTAAGCAGGAGGTTTCAGCGATACATTAAATCTATTATCCATTTATTCCAGTCTTCATTCTTCGTTTAGCATACAGATTTTATACTTTAAGAAGCATTGACAACAAAATTTTAAAAATCGTACCAAAAATTACTTGACTCTAAGAGTACTTTTGAAGAGATGAGAAGGTGCTCTTAGAACCCCAAAAGTGCTTTCTTCAAAATTTTCAGAATATTTTCAGAGATTGGGAAATCACCAATTATTGTCGATTTGGAAAAAAAAATTCCCTATGGCTTGTCAATAGGATTTCTTCCTATATCTGCAATTCTGATTGAGTTATCCTTATTCTAACATTAATAGGCTCAAAAGGATGTAAATATAATACATGAAATAAATGCATACAAACAATACTAGGAGAGCTTAAATCAAAATGGAATGAAATATGCAAAAAAATATGAATTTACCATAAAAATAAACTAATAAAATAAAAAGTAAATAAATAATAAAATGTAATGTATACCAGTACAAAAATAAATACAAACGAAATTATAAGGAAATAAATATTGGTTGGCAAGAAAGTAATTTCGGTTTGCACAAATAGCGTTATGATCGTTTGTTATTCTTCTGCCAATCTTATATTTTTTTTTCTTTTGGGATTTGGCAACTAACAATTTTAGGCTGCTATAGAAACAAATTCCGTGTATTTTTGTTCACATGTTTGTTTAACATGTGCATTAAATAAACATTTTCCACATATTTTACTTTTTCAGTTTCATAAAGAAAGCAGGTGAAGCTCACAAAGGTGTATGTGAAATATATGGTGTTGATTGCATAACAGAACGCATGTGTCAGAAGTAGTTTAGAAACTCTAGTGCTGGAGATTTTTTCACTTGAAGGTGACGAAATTTCTGGTCAAACTTCTAAAGTTCAAGATAACCAAATGAAAGAGATAATTGAATCAAATTGTCATACTGTGTGAGACTGCAAAATGTTTAAATGTATCACAAACAACAATTGAAAATCAGATCTTGGACTTGTTAAAAAGCCCGATATTTGGGCTCCGCATAAAATTAAAAGAAACTCATTTAATACAACGAATCAGTATTTGCGATATGCATTTCAAACGTAATACAATTGACCCTTTTCTGACACAAATTATTACTGATGATGGAAAGTGGGTCGTCTACAATAACATTAATCAAAAAAAAAAAAAAAAAAAATCATGGCCCAAGCATGACAAATCAGCACAAATCATATCGAAAGCTAAACTCTCAGAAAAATAATCATGTTGTCACTTTCGTGGGATTACAATGGTGTCTATTTTGAGCTGCTTCCAAGCAACTATACAATTAACTCAGATGTTTACTGCCAACAACGTTTGATATTGAAGGATGCTAATCAAAGAGAAAAACGGCCTGAACTGGAGAATCGCAAAGGAATCGTGTTTTACCACCACAAAAAGTGCCAGCCTCACACATTAGTAACATGTATGAAATTACTCGAGCTTGGAAGTGATATCACATCCTCTACATAGCACCGACTTGCATCATTGAATTATCATTCATTTCCAACTTTGCCAAACCTCATAAAGGCAAACATTTCAGTAATAGCGATAACCTGAAATCGCAGTTGGTTGCGTGTTTTTGCTGATAAAGAGCAAAGTTCTACCAATGCGGAGGCATGAAGTTATCAGAAAAATGGCGATATCTCAAAAAACAGAATGGAAGATATTTGACTGATTAAAGATAATTTTTGTACTGAAAAAATTGAGTTTTATTTCGTACTAAAAACCGAAATTACTTTCTTCCCAACCTGAAAGGAAAAACTAGAAAATTATGCAATAGTGTCAATATGGGGTTATGATTTCTCACCAATAACGTCGAGTCTGGTATGCAGAATAAGAGTTCTAGATCGCTTGAGGTCCACTCTGCATTTATAATCAGCTTCATCTTCGGCTTTCGCTGTAGCTATTCTGAGAATAGGTGGATGTCTACTGATGTTGAAATAAGCTCGTCCTTTCAATTCTTCCGCCGGGAAATGGCGAGCCTCTTGAATGCGTGCATTTCTCACATCCAGTGTGTATATGGGATTCGGATTATCCGTCCTATACCACAATATCAACGATGCTTCGTCTTCAGCTAATGGCGTTGATACATTACAAGGAATATATGCAGGATATCCGGCTATGGTTTTCACAACAGGATGATCTAGAAAATAAAAACTATATTTGAATAAACAGCGCTAGATTTTAAAATGCAACAAAGTTATTATTAACATTTAAACTGTGACTTTTAAATATAATTATCCTTTCTTGTTAAAATTTTTGTTTAAAAAAAGTGTACAAAGTATGAAAGAAAACTTCCATAATTCGAGAAAACTCGAGTTGAAATTGTTGCATAGCAAGCCTGTTAGACCTGTGAGAGGACATACGTTTCTCTATTTCGGTCCAATGTCGACTTCTTCCGTATGGTGTTTATCAACCTCGGCTGTCACATAATTTAGCATGAACCCGGTTCCAAAGAAGGCTTAGATATTTGTAATTTTCTCTCTACTGCTTCTTAAGAGAAGCTCACCAGATGCCAAGCGGTACAAGACCACTGAACACTAGCGGTTCTACCTAAGTTCCATTTCTGGAGAACGACTGGCTGCATGGGCGTTTAAATTCTTTTCCCTACGTGTAAAGTGGATACGAGCCAATTTACCTCACAATATTCTTTGCCCAGGAGCTTCTATACTTAGGGCCTAGTGTGCTTTTCCATAATCATATAAATCAAACCTTTTCGAAGCTGTTATATTGATCTAACCTTGGAGATGCTATCAAGGTGGTATTCTGAAGAAAGAAGTGATTAAATAACAGTCTGTACAATACCCGAACAATGTTTGTAGTCTTTCATGTTTAATAAGCAGTTATGTTATTATTTTTACCGTTAATGCTGCTTCTACTTTAGTCGTCTCCCACCAGGATGCAAATTATATGTACATATTTTACTACTGGATTCTTGAGTTTCAAAAGAGCTTTTGGCAACAATGGCTGAATTTATCGATAGTATTGCTTTCCAGTTTCTAAATTTACTTGAATTTCATTTAGCCTAGCTGGTCGTATTTGTTTGCATGAGTTTAATGCCTCAGCTAAAAATTATAGGCTCGCTTAGTCTTGTAAACCTTCCATTGTGTTTAGAGTTATTTCACTGGATAATTAAGGCTGAGTGATAAGTTGCATAACTATCATCGCGGGGACAGAATTAACAATTAAATCAGTTAGGTTGCGTAAGTGATTAAGGCGTCTCAAAAAAGCGTTGCCAATATAAATATGCTGGTCTTTTATACTGTGATAAACAAGATTTACATAGGAACTTTGTGTCTGAAAATGCGCACGGACAGTTAGAGGGCAATGCTAGCAGGTTTATGAGAGAGTGGGAAGTGTGATCAGGCGTGGACGTTCCAGGAAGAATTGGTTCAATAACTTAAATCTTTATGGACATTTTGTGGAAAGAGTGTTGCCGGATCTCATGGTTAACGTTCCAGCAACTACACGCTGAAACACTTAGTTTCAGCATTATGGAGGGTCTGCACATTTTAGCAGCACTCTAAGAGAATACCTCAATAGGACACATCCTGATTGCTCGATTGGCAGAGGCAGACCAGTCGCAAGGCCCCCGCGATCTCCCTACCAGACTCCTCGGGCTTTCTGTATGTGGAGATACATGAAATACATGGTGTACGAGACGATCGTAACATCGGACATGGGTCTCTCACCAAGATCTTGGACGCTGTGGCACGTATCACACAAGCATGTTAAGTTTGACAACGACGTGGTTTTTGCAAGATTTCAATAACATCCTATTAATATGGATTGACCGAACTAATAGTGTACTTGTGCTGAATTTCATATAGTTTACTTGTGTTGAATTTCATATAAGTATTTTATCATATCATTTTTCATATAAGTATTTTAGAGTTATGATCGCTCATATATCATCATTTATTAATAAGCTATGATGAAAGGGTAATAAAATAAATTAAATAAAAATCACGGTACCATTATCGGATATTTAAAAAAAATTATTTCATCGCGTTTTTATTTGCTTATTTTAAATTTATGTTACTTCTATAAAACTATTCGATTGTATGTAACCGTAAAGACTAATCTGATTTGTGACTGGTATTTAAATACGCTTTAAAAACCTACAGCTGCGGAGATTTAAATCAAGGTAGAGATTTAAATTAACAAAATTAAAATCTAATTTTAAAATTCATATAAAAGTACATTTAAACTTCAAGGGAAGAAGTGATATATTTTCGTCTCTGAATTTAGCTTAAAGTTCAGAAGTATGGAAATATAGCATAATAATCACTAAAGGAATAATAATAAAAGAAGTATATTCGAAAATGACAAAATCCTCATTAAATAACAAGCAAAGTTTGGATGAAAGACAAAGATGCAAATATTTTCTAAAGTAAATTATAAGAATTATTTTTAAAATTAAATTGGGAAACATACATTACTACACTTCGCTAATATATATTCTTGGAAAAATACATCAAACGGAAGTATTTTATATGAGTGCAATTTCAGTCTCTGAGAATATTATTTTATAATATAATCAAATTCGTATATAACAAAATTTTGTGGAGTTTCTCAACGTTCTAACATATTGCAGAATTCGCCTCATGTAACTACATAAAATTAGAATTTCTCGATCTATAAAATTTTCATTCTCGTCATCAATGTTTATATTATTAGATTGTATCAGATGCAAACTTTATGTAAAACATAATTAAATTTGAAAGTAATAAACTAAATTATGTAAAGAAAGCACAGTAACAATATACACTGAACTGCCAAAAATTACTATACCGAGTTAATATAACCTAGATTTGCCATATTAGCTTAACTGCGGATATACAGGATCTATGTTGGAGTATTATGTTTACAATTACATAATACCTGTTACACAGAAATCCATGATTTTTTTATAATCGGAGGTGTTGGTTTTCCGTGTTCCAGTGCGCGGTGCAAGGTATTCGAGATGGGATCGATAGCGTTTGGAATAGGTGATTATAACGAGAAATTTCCACTAAAGCCAGTTAAATAAACCATATGCTACTAGGTAGGCATCATAGCCTGTACAGTGCCCTTTTTCTTCACATACAGAATTTATGGAGTCATTTTTCTACACGATCCTTCTATCAACCCGGAATGGTTTAAGATGGGGTTGCCAGTACTGTTTACTCGACGCTTGTCATTAAGCATCCAGTGCCCAAATTCCAAGTCCAGACCAATTGCATTGCAGGTCTCTGTGTTGCGCATATGTTGAGTGTATTCTGTCTTAATCTACTCGTAAGGGGAATAATCCACAGTCCTCAGGGTGGTGCTTGTTGAAGCGGCAGCTACAATTTCTGATGTTACATGAAATAGAGTTTTATTCCTGTCTCAGAGATGATCCTTGCCAGTTGAGGTTAATCGTTTTCATTCAGTGCTTTTGTGACTATATACACGATTGTCTTAAGTTCAGCGTTTTATTAGGATTCTTACTGTCATAAATACACTTTTAAACTGTCGTATAAGATGAATCAATCTTACCTTTTGTCTCCATATTGCTAAAAGTTAGCTCCCGCGCATTAAAATTCATTTAGCTACACAGTTGTTATTCTCAGGACCAAAAATAGGCTAGATTCTTCCAGAGTTATCCATTAATTTTATACCAATATTCGGAAGCATCCAGTATCTAGAGTACAATGTGAGCATCAGTATATGTGCAGTAAGCATCGGTATATGCAGAGATGCTGTATATTATGTATAGGTACATCAGTGTTTCTTGGCACTTCAGAATATCTTTACCATTTACATTTTCTATGATGACTTTTCCTTTTAATAATAAAGTGGGAAACTGATCAACTAAAGGTATAGATGCATCAAAATCCTGAATGGTCCAGCTGATGGGGTTATCTAATTCTCGTCTTTCAATACGATACATAATAAATTGGGTAATATTGCATGAATAATATAATACAGGCATAAAATATACAACATCATTAGCAATACAATATAATACATTACATTAATCATATATTATTATACATTAGCCATGCAATATAATACATCAGTCATGCAATACCTTAACAAAGCTATGCAATATAAACGTCTTTATACTTAGATATAAGTGTTCCATCAAGAATTAGCATAAGTGGCTGAACACTGAGCGTTTGACAAATAGCATTTATTTTATTTAGGGAATCTTTTGAGATAAAGGGACGTAACTTTGTTGGATGCTCAGAGAAAATGGCACTCTTTGCAGCTTCTTTCGCGAACGAATCTGCTTTCTTGTTACGATCAAAAGGTAATCTTTTGCAATTATATCTTGTATGTCATTACCCTTCTACTATGGCTGTAAATGCACAAAAAAATTAGTAATTTCTTGTTCAGATAGCATGAAAACTCTTAATAAATTCATAAACTTTAGCATTAAGTTCTATTAAAGGAAACCAGTTATAATATTTTGACAATTCCTGCACAAACAATTTTTAGACCATGAGCATACTTGCTTGCCTATATGCAAATGATAGAATATTTGCATCTGAAACTCTCATTTTTCCGTATTTCGTAACGAATTTATGAAAAAGATTTTTTTACTGAAAATTCTAAACGTCATAGTTCTTGAATCTTTAGATGTTATTAGATCGTCGGAATGCATTTGGGATTCCTGCAAATTGAAAATTTTCGAAGACTCTAATTTCCAGCTATTTCGCAATATATATATATCTTAGCAAGTTTTCATGTTCTAGAAATATGTCCCTACCTTTCGTACTCCTTGTCGAAAATTGCCTCTGAGTGTATACTCTAACTTGGATCACCAATTCTTTTCTACCACGAGCGCATCGAAGCGAAGCATGCTGAGATGCTTCTCTCATAGCTCTTTAAAATACTCTAAGTTGGTGTCAGTAATATGGTGTCAAACTTCTCATGAAATTGCTGTATATAAGCGATGCTTTACTTGGAGATGAATAAACATAAACGATTTAAACTTTGTGTGCCTATATGTACAACCTAAATGACAATTATGATTTTTTTTTCTTTTAAACTGGTAGGAAATTTTTCATTCAACACTTTTATATCGTTTACCAAATGATGCCAATAACATTTAAGGTCCTTTGTTTGATTTCCAATTCTAAGAACCTCTATCTCTTTTTTAGTACATCTTATCATTTTATGGCAAAATAATTTTATGTTTCTCTGCCATCTTTACGTTGGCACTCTCAAGAATTAATATGCGTGCCTTCAGATTTTTTTCCGGTATATTTGCATGAGCAACCTCCTAACTTTTTATTTTGTGCTGTTTTTGTGAAATAATGCAGTTTCGTCTGAGTTGAAAGTTTTCGTGATAGCTGCGGAAAATTCCTGCACATATTTTGCCTTTCCTCGCCTCATATATGAGGCGAACGCTTGCTACTTCTCCAGTACCACAAAAAATGTTATTTCCCTTACTGAATCTATTGAGTCATCCTCTGGGGCCCATAAAGCCTGTTTTCCTTTTTGTTTGCATGTCCAGCTATTGGCAGTTTATGGTTATGTTGGACGGTAAACAAGTTCAACAACTCCTCTTATATATTTTCTCGACTTGCATTCTACAATCTCTTGTCATCAAAATTCGTTTCATGAGCAAATATATTTTTCCCCTCTTTTTCCAGATTCTAATAATAATAGACTTAGATAAAGAGGAGAGATTGACGCTTTTGGAATTTAACAGTTTGTTTATCAAAACATTTTAATTATGTGTACATAATTGACTATATTTCTTGAATTTTTTTCTTGATTATTAAGACATATGTCTAATGACACTGACCAACAAATGAAAATTGGCAGCTGATTATCAAAATAATACTCTTTTGGAAGAGCTCTCAATTTATCAAAAATGCAGTTATAGAAATAATGATTTCCTTTTCCCCTCTAAAAGGATAACTTAAAATTAAAACTATAAATGAAAACTTTATTCTCATTTCTTCAGCACATTTCTTTAGAAATTGCAGTAATTCAAATAAAGAGTTTTTAATCACTTGCTGTTTAATGCATGCGTCGGGAATGATAGTGCTGCTTCATCAGCAACAGCGTTGCTCAAGGTGGCCCAATGTGTACTATAAGGAGTAAATTACACCTGTGAGAAAGGGAAAGTTCTGTTTGATGGCTTCTGAGCTTTGATTATGAACTTCCCTATGATAGGACCCAGATCTCGAACCCTAACTTCCTTACCGTCAGCTTCTCGTAAAGACTTTCGTCCTAACAATATTTTAAATGGCCCATGACGCAAAAGAACATTTATTTACAGAGGTCTATACTTTTTACGGGATTCGAGATCAGGCTCAAGGATATAGCAGCCATCGCATTTACTACCATGCCAACAAGGCGGTTTGCATAAAATATTAAAAAAGCAAAATTAAGTAACTAGTTTAGCGAGTCATAACTGGATTTGTCAAAAGGATGTTGAAATCTTTGAAACATGGTGTTAGTAAGAAGACCTGAAACGAACAATTAAAATAGAGCCAACTGAAAGAGTAATTAATTCAATTGTTTACAAATTCTTAGATTCTGCTGACTCTTATTTAGAATGAATTCAAACTGAAAACGATATAGCCTGCGAATTTAAACTTTAGCAACTGATATTTGTTATCAAAGATTCGAATTGTGAGTATTAAATCATACCATGAAGACAGAGGCTCGATTTTTATGAATATACTGCTCAGTCTTAGGAAAATGATTTTGATAAAGTGTTTAGTGACATTTGTCAATTGGGTGGAACTAGTCAAAAAATGTTAAAACAGATTATATCGAATTCATCAATTGTTGGCAAAATGCTTAAGTGAACACACATTCTTTGATAAGCTATCGTTGTTATTTATTTAACAGTTAAATAGTTTAATCGTTAAGATAATTTAAATTTCAAATCATTTGAAAATTACAAATTTGTTTAGCATTAAAAAGTTTTCATGTACACATACATAATGCCTTCACACAGTTATATACGCAATATGTACAACAATTTATTTATGTGTAAAAGTCACTAAACACCTCATTAAAATAATTTACTTAGATTGACAGTATATTCATAAAAACCCAGCCTCTGTCTTCCCATTATCGCTTCATATTTATAATTTATATTTGCTACTAACCAATATCATTTGCTGAATTATCTGTTAGCAACATATACCATTTTAAGATTTATCAAGTTCAAATGATGAACGCAATTTAAAATAAGAGTTTTTTATTCTTCCAGAAACTAAGGCGATTCTGTTCTTGCAGATAGCTGTTACCTCTGTAAACTAAGGCAAAGCCTTACTTCTAAACTCTTGTTTGTGGTTTTCCGAGTGAATAAAATAAACCAAGAAATTACGGACTTAGTAAATAATTTATATATGCTGTTGTTGTTTCTTATCCTAACTGGCTAGACCATATCGATGTGTCCCAGAAACGTCAATAAATCCAAAACGAAGGTAGTTCTTTTCAACTGGTCCTCTTTTACAACTGCCAAACAGGTGAGATGTTCAGGAGTGAAATGACCAGTATTTTATTTTTTACAGATCTTATTTCCCTGGTTTATTAACGTTTTTCAGATGTCCACTTAGGAGTCTCTTCAAAGTAGTCTGCTGAGCGCCCCCTAGAAGGCGGATCTCTACCCCCTAGAAGGCGGATCTCCAAAGAGATCACAGTGTCAACGGTGAGAGTCATTAAAATACCTTCCTTAGCTATGGTATCAGCCATTTCTTTACCACTGACGCCAATATGTGAAAGTATCTATTGCAGATGTACTTCATGATGGGTTCTGCAGTAAAGCAAAAATAGACAGTGCAGTCTTATCACCAATGCGGGGCTAGTTTTGTAGATGCTGGACAAAACTGCGACTGTCAGGCAAAATTCACATATATTTTAGGTAGTGCAAGTGCATGCAGCCTTAAGCATTTCTTAATTGCTATAAGCTCAGAATGAAGAACAGAACAGCGATCAGGGTTTCTAGTCTTAATATTAAAGCTGTTAAGACTCTACTACCGAAAATTCCATGTTCATTTTACTGCTGTCAGTGAAACTCTGATGGGCATTAGATGAAATGCGATTTAAAGTTACCGGTGCCATCTACCAAAGACAATCTGGTAAATTCGTTTTTTAAATGTCTGATTGGTCTAAGAAGATAAGTCTGTAAGAATATAGACGCCATGAAGTCCTTCAATGGATTGGTAGTCAGTTTCAGTTAGTACGTTTCAACAGTTGAATATATCAAACCCATGAGATGAGCCACAGCAAAAGGTCTGTTTATTTTTAATCTTTGAATAGAAACCTACTCATGAAGAAGTATAGAGCTACAGTTATGAGTATCATAACTGTACAATATATTAAAGTATATTGTCAGTTTAGCTTTGCATCTCAAATTCAACTTTTGTATATTATATTCCAAAAGGGCTATTTCGGCCGGACAGCTTTTGCGTAAGCCAGCAATTAGACGGGCTGCACTTAACTGAACACACTCAAGTTTAGCCAAATTGGTAGAAGAAGTACAGAAGTAAATCTCTAAAACATATTCCAAAATGGGTTTCATTGCTGACAAATATGAAGATTTGAGAGTAGATGAATCCAGATCTCAACTCGGTACCAAATAAACACTTAAGGATGTTAAGTGTTTTCCTACCTCTCAAAATCACATTTATTACTCAGCAACTGAAAACAACTACAACAACGCTATATACATGTGAAAAACAACGCTATGTATTGCAGGTATACTTTTATACGTGAGACATTTTTAACAGTATTTAAAATGCAAGATTTTCCAGAAATTACTTCCTAAGGTATTTAAAAAGCTTCGCTTGTGTATCAATGTGTGACCTGTTCTTTGTTCCTATTTCTCACATTTTGTTATTGTCGTTAGAATGTATGTGCATTACATGATATGCCATGATCAATACAGAGATAACAGTAAATTCGAAGGGAAATTAA